TCTTCTTCTTCTTCTTCTTCTTCTTCTTCTTCTTCTTCTTCTTCTTCCTTGTTCCTCTCTTCCCTCCCTACTTTAGCCATCTTTAAAAAGCCTGTTCTTCTATGCTCGGTGGATGTGCTGGGGAGGGCTCTGACAGAAGAATCACCTCTGTCTTCTGTAGAGAAGCAGACAAATCACATCTACACTTCAGCCCTGCGCGCCACTCTGATGAGGTGCTCTGAGAAAACCCTGGGCAGGCCTTCCACATGACCTCATCTTGCAGGTACCAGCACAGGCTCTGCTGAGAAAGACAGGAGAGAACTGGCCCAGAGGCTTCTGACCAGCTTGAGCTCCCCACTCTGACTTTTCTGAGGCAGTTTCCTCTGGCTCTGGCCTGCAGGTGCCTGGATGGAGCTCACTCCACACTTGGCTATCTGGGTGCTGTCTTTCTGAGCTCTGACTGACTGGAAGGCCCCCAGGAGGCCTAGATTCCTAATCTGTGGGATATGGGGTCATGGAGCAGCTGCGGAAGCATGCCAGGCAGCATACTTAGGTAAATCGGCAACCACCACACAAGGACAGGGGTGGCGGATGGCTTTCCGGGCCCCGGCTGTTTCTGCCAAAGGAGGAGTCCTGAGAATGGTCCATGTTAACTGAGATTTACAGTCAATGTTCACAGCTAACCGAACCCACAGAAAGTCGGAACTAGAAGGTTTTATTTGCCCCACTTAAGGAGACAGACCTAGAGCAAAGAGGTGACCAGTGGCCAGACTGAGTGTCTGTCAGGGACAAAACCCTCTCCCCTGGGAATAGATAGGCAAGAGCCTGGTCAGACATCAGGGCCTCCTTAGCCAAGGGTGCTTAGAACCTGCCCCTCCCAGATCCCTCCCAGGAGCTGAGGACGGCACATCCAGATCACTCCATATCCTTGCGTGAGGGTTTAGGACACCCTCCTGGCTTCTGGTCGTACCTCAGCCTGTGAGTTTCAAGGCAGAAACCATCCCTCCTATCCCTCTGGATGTCACTTTCCTCATCTCTTCAATTAGAGGCTTAGAGAGGATTTGTAGGCTCTCCACAGTGACTGCTGACAATGGATAACTGTGCGAATCTAAGCCATTAGTAGTATTTACAATTAAAACCTCCGTTTCTTTGCACTCTCTTCTTGTGGCAGGCCCAGTGCCAACTACTTTCCCCATCATCACCGAAGACCCCTTCAGGTAAAGAGTCCATTATGGTACAGGTGAGAGGCTGAGACGTAGTGACCTGAGCGTGTGACACTCGCTCATGGCCAGGCCTCCAGTTGAGGGCTTTACAGAACTCACAGACTGCACTCCAAACCTGGAGTCCAGGAGACAGCCTCTGCTTGTTGGCACCTCTCTCCAGCCCTGACCCCTATGACAGTTTTGACCTCTGGTGCGTTGTTGCCCTGGAGGAGAACTAGGAGCACCTCTACATTCTGAGGGCAGATAGAGATGCTTGGAAATGGGCCATGTTGAGTGACAGCATGAGCCGCTTTCCCCAGGGCACATGGCCAGTTAGAGGGTCGCCTGAGACTCCTGACTCTCAGACCATATTCGTCCTCAGCAATCAGTACGTGTAACATTTATCAACGGCCCAAAGAGGCACAGGCATTGATTCTGGGACCCCCTCTGCCTATGTTCCTTCACACAACCAATTAAATTTTAATTTAAGGACATCAATTCCCCATGAACCAAGCAACTACTGTGTTGTCCTTTGTGCTAAGTGCATTTCCAGGCTTGAAAGTCAGTGGTGGCAGCAGCCTGGAGGTGGCTCAGTGCTTAGGCAGGCAGAAAGAAAGGAGGCTCAGGTGAGGTGAGCTTCTGGAACATTCTGATGATGCTGCTAACGCACCTCTGCCCAGACTCTGAGAGGCATGAACAACCCCGGATGTTGCTGAGTCTGGGAAGGAAGCAGAGGCTGCAGAGCTTCCTACTGACTTCAGCTACACATTCCTGTGCATTACTGTGTGTGTGTGCTGTGTATACACACGATGTGTACATGCTGTGTGTTCACTGTGCCAGGGGATGCATGAAGATTGAAGCCGCCCTTCTGGCACTGCTTATGTGCATGCGCCGACGCTCAAAGAAGCCTCTGTCAAACACTCACAGAAGCACAATTTGTGGAGGGCTCTCAAGACCAGATTCTTGACTATCAGGGAGAGGAGGAGGAGGAGGAGAGGGAGGACGGGGAGGGAAACACAAGTCCAATCCAAATCCTGAACATCAGCAGTATAGCCATTGCCAAAGTATAGCTATGCCTTAGGTCTCATCCTTGGCAGCCATGTGACATTTGACAAAGTTGGCTCCAGGTTCTTGCATCCTTTCCTGCTCTGTTTCCTCCTCCTATGGCCCAGCTTCTGAATGCCCCCCCCCCCAGGCACTCCTGCTCTGTGACATTTCCTCAGGGCTTTCTTAACAACAGTGCTTCTGCTGAAACCGTGTCTCCTGAGAGCCACCTGCAGGCCAGCCCTCCTCAGGAGCACCAGGAGCATGTCCACCAGAGTCTTCTGAGCACTGGCCTCTGTGTGGAATCTCAGACCTCGCCCTGTCTGTCCTCCACAGACGTAGTCTGGACTCAGAGTTTCTCCCATGATTTAGTAGACATGTGGCCTTGGGGCTCGTGTCCTTGAGGAGCCTCTGAAGCCCCTGGAGGCTCTAATTTACCATCTAAAACAGACTAGGACCTCAGGCCATTGGTGTTTCTGGATCAAGCAGATGATGCAGTGTTGCACAAGGCTTGGCACAATGGCAGCACAGACAGACCCTGGGTAAGCGCAGGTTCTCTCTGCCCAGACATCTTACTTCACATTCTGTTTATTGGTTCCTGATTCCAACATAAATATCCCTTGAGTCCTTTGCCTCTCTGAGCCCATTTCTGCCACTGCCAAAGCTCAGGCTGTCCTGAGGGAGCCTCCTGCATTCTGAGAACTAGCATTTCAGAATGCTTTCTGTGGGGTCCGTTGCTGCCTGTACCAAAAAGTCCAAGGTATTTTGTTTGTTTTAAAATCAAGCCATACAGCCTGTGTCACAAGCAGGTTGTCTTTCTTGAGTTCTCCTTTCTTCTGTTAGCTCTGTGATTTTTTTGTTCAAGGGGCCCAGATAACTGGAATGGTCTCTTCTCCCTCTTCTTATCTGGTCACCTTTGCAAATGATGTCAGGTTACGGCTCCTGCTATATGCCCTCTATGGAGCAAATTGCACACTCTCACCTCTGTGCTTCTGTGGTAACCAGCAGACTTCCATTAGGACATCCTCGGAGCATACAACTAAGAGCCCCGGACCCTTAGTGGATGGTTCATCTTTTCTCCAAGGGAAGGCTTGGACCTAAGCTCCCTCTGTGCCCCTAGCACCAACACAGAGCCACACAGTAGTGTTTAGAACATCCATGACTGGGTGCCTGTAATCCTGGGGATCTAGATTCACAGCACTCTGTAATCATAGTCAGGAGGACCATGAGTTTGAATCTAGTCTGAGCTATATAGCAAGTTCAAAGCCAGGTTGGCATGTAGAGACCCTGTCTTAAGTTTGAAAATAAATGAACTTAAAATTCAGTTATTTGCCCAGTCCCACTAGCCTCTAGAGCTTTTAGTCTTGCAAAATAAAACCTCAACACCTGTGAAACGACAACACACCCCATCTCCTGCCCACCATGGTCTGCACTCTTCTCTCTGAGTCTGGCTGTGCTAAGGCCCTTGTGTAAATGGGACCACACAATATTTGTCCGGGGATTTGGGCCCCTTTGCCAATAGCATGTGCAGACTTGAACTAGCTTTGCCAGTGAGCTCTGCTGCCCTGGCTGACATGTTAGCTCAGTGACAGTGGTTTGCTAGTCTGTTAGAAATTTCTCCTGTATAATCTCGTCTAAATATTTTTTCCATTTCAAAGACAGAAGGGAAAAATTAATCATTACCATCGTCCAACTTGGCTACAACAGCCAGAGATCAGTAGCTGCCTCCTAGCCAGGAGATGGTTCTTTGCTCTAAGGTTTCTCAATCCATGTGCACATTAGGACTCCCTGGAGTATTGTATAAAGAAATCCTACTGTCACACCCTTGTCTTCCCAGGTGCAGGTGCAGTGGCTCGTGGAAAGCTCCCAGGAGCCTCAAATATTTCCCCAAGTGGTCACCAGCATTGTGGCTGAGAGTCATCATGCTGTGCTGGGCAGTGGCCTTGGCTGTGTCTGATCATGGTGATCTTCAGGGATTTCTGAAAAACATGAGGACCCCAGTCCATGATAC